ACTTTTTCATTTCCCGAGAGTTGACTTTTGTTGACTTTTTCATTTCCCGAGAGTTGACTTTTGTTGACTTTTTCATTTCCCGAGAGTTGACTTTTGTTGACTTTTTCCAATTTTGGCTCATTTTCGCTCATTTTTGCTCCTTTTGCAGATTTTCTGAAGTGAAAAACGGGCATCGGAGGGCGTCGGAGGATATATAACTGGTTGCTGCAACAATTACTGGCCTCCCACCCTTCTACGGCCTTCCCAGTGATAAAACAGAGGTACCTGCCAAAAATGAACGAAAACCGTTGCAAAACGAATGTTCGGGGGCCAAAACGCGCAGTTCGGGGTCCCGAAAATGGGCTGTTAAACACCGAAAGTGGCATTCGACCACGAAGTGGGTCTCTCAGGCCCCAGTGTCCCTCAAAAGGGAGTAGAAAGGAAGTATGCCAAAAATTAGAACAAACGGAGATGGTTAGGCAGTCCCGAACCGAGGCACACGACCTGACGGCTCCGAAAACCGGGAACCGGACTCCGAAATGGGCAAAATGGCCTGCGGCCACCAAATGTAGCCCACGGCCACTGAGGGATGGTCTACGGGACCTCTCCCTCCCCTCAGGAAAAGAAACAGCGAAAACCGAGCCTGGTTCGCAAACCGAGGCAAAGCACAAAAGAGGGTTCGGAAGTCCGGAGGCAGGGCTCACGGCCGCGACTCTGAAACTTCTAAACGAGCACATTATGCAACATCACCAAGCGCTCAATCAGTGACGTCTGAGTCTTAAGGTCGGTCAAAAATGGGGTGTCTACACTATAGTAAGCATAAACGGATTTTTTCTGCAAATTTTGGTTTGTTTTATCCTGATAATAACTTACAAAAGTTTTGTCATGACCCGAACCCGCCCCCATGGGTTAAGGACATAACCGGCCAATAATCACGAGATTATCTACGGCCTTAAACCAAATTAGATATGTTTTAACAGAGTTAAGGGGGCCAAACGGAAGCAATTTCAAACTTTTGTCCACAGAGCTGTGCTTACATGGCACGTCATAACATTTCTTAAACATACATTAATAACTCATATCAAGGAAGGTTAACATATAAGCTTTACACAACAGGATCATTGAAGTCATGGTCAGCCAATCAAAACTATATACATCAGTAATCCAAAGTTCTCGCCAACATAACAAAATATAATCAAAATAGCAAAGGGCGAAAACAAGTCTTGTGCGTGAGACATATGGTCTGACTCTTCAAAACCTTGACTGTCTCACACAAACTTCACTGAGGCTGGGTTTGGACCTCCCTTGGCTCACCTACAAACACATGAATGCGCGTGAGCGAAAGCCTAGTGAATAATATCAAATAAAGAAGATACGCGAACGGTATTTAGAGCAACATACATCAGACGGCCTTGGGCCCAAATTCATATTTCTATCTAGTATGCATTATATATATGGGTTAAGTGATTGCGGTTCCAAACACATCAAACGGCCTTGGGCCCGATTCATTCATGTCAAATGGCCTTTGGCCCATTCATTCATGTCAAACGGCCTTTGGCCCAATCATTTATGTCAAACGGCCTTTGGCCCGTTCATCTTTCATTCATGTCAGACGGCCTTCGGCCTATTCATTCTTTCATTCATGTCAGACGGCCTTTGGCCCATTCATTCTTTGATTCATGTCAGATGGCCTTTGGCCCAACCATTCTTTCATTCATGTCAAACAGCCTTTGGCCCAACCATTCTTTCATTCATGTCAGACGGCCTTTGGCCTATTCATTCTTTCATTCATGTTAGACGGCCTCTAGCCCATTCGTTCTTTCATTCATGTTAGACGGCCTCTGGCCCATTCATTCTTTCATTCATGTCAGATGGCCTCTGGCCCATTCGTTCTTTCATTCATGTCAGACGGCCTCTGGCCCAACCATATGGCATAGCAAACATTTGTCCACAATTCAAATTAACAAACTTATAAGACTTATAGGGAAATAAGCAATTGGACAAATAACATACTTTAAAATATCTTTATTAAGATATTACTCACAGTGTTCTGCCGGTGGATTCACCCTTCTCGACCCTACACATTACATAAAACTTATGGGTCACAAACGATTCAATCCGTTCTTAATTCATACATCCCTCTTAGGCTTCTTTCTTATTCTTTTAATTCATTCATAATGCTCAATTCATGCCTAAGAGTACATAGAAGTGAAAGAGAACGGAAAGTGAAACACAGAACACCTTTACAAATTTTCTGAAACAGGGGTCCCCGCTCGAGCAGATCCCTTGGGTCTGCAAAAATACTGGTTGCTTCATTTTTATGCTCGAGCGTGAAGTCGGGAGCTTGAGCTGAAAGTCTCACTACATGGCTCCCCGCTCGAGCGTGAATCTCCCCGCTCGAGCGGACACCCATGTCTGCAAAACTTCTGGGAGCTCGTATTTCCCGCTCGAGCGGCGCTTTCTTCGCTCAAGCGGACATGCCAAATTCTGGAAAATCCAGAATTGTTCTTGAGGCTCAAACTTGATATTCAAAGGCTCCAAAGCTTGAATTAAGGTACCAAAAATAGGGAAACACATTATATATAATGAGTATACAAACAATATGAGGCCAATTGTTCAAAATCATGGTCCAATCTTCAAAATTAATCAACCTCTCTTTTGTATAATCAAAACTCATGCATTCAAACTTCGTATAAGTTCCACACCTTCATTAATCAAACATGCATGTCAATTTTTGACTTCATTTCTATTTCAAATCTTACAAAGAACACTTATTATTATGAAACCCACAAAGATTATGCATGCATGTGAAGATTGGTGCCCAATTCTCCATGTTTAACATCATTCATGCTAGCTTATGCAGTTTCATGGTAATTCATGGTGATTCATAGTAATTTCATGCATGCATGTGCATTCTAACTTCATATTCAACTCAATCTTTGCCATGAGCTACCATACCACTTGAATTCACAAAATTACATACTCAACTCATAAATTAAGAGTTGATTACTCACCTAGGAGCTTCAAATACTCAAGTTCTTTGAGTTAATCTTCAAGATTTCCAAGCTTCAAAATCAAAGCCTCAATCCTTCCAGCCTCTCTCTCACTAAATCCGGCCCTCTCTCTCTCTTTAGAGAGAAAAATTTGATTTTAGCTCAAAACAAGTGAATGAGGGTGTAAATTGGCCCTTTATAAGCTTCTTCTCAAACACATTTCATTAATATTAAATAACTGAGCACTATACCATTAATTTAATCTATTTAATCTGATCCGAATCAATTTTCAATTAAATTTCACCGTAGGCTCCAAAAATTACGCTAATCACAAAGGCGTAATCAATTTCGGTTTCTGTGGCCGATAAGGCCTTCAATTTTCAGTTTATAACAGTAAGTTGAACATATATTCCTACGGTGAACAGATAGAAATTCAAAACCACATATATTCATATAAATGGCACACAAAATCATATCAAACACATAATCACGATCATAATTAAGATTAATTAGCATAATACGGACCAGGGTTATCACAAGTTTAGTGTTTTTATCCCTATTTGACAAGGTAGTATTGTACTCGCATTCATTTGTATTTACAATTAGTACTATACCTAATTGGTTCTAGGTGGGCTTACCGGGCCAGTGTTCACTCCTAGACTATCAATCTACTAGGATGTGGTTGTATTTGTTGGTGGGGTGCTTGATCTCTTCCCTTCTTATCATTTAATGTTTTTATGGAGGTTTGGCAGTGTAACAACTGGTTCTTTCTGTACATTGTGTATGGAAATAATGAGTATTCAATTTGATCAGTTCTAGACAAAATCCTTGATACAGTATATATTACTCGGATGTATTTTCATAATTTCACTTGTTTTACACTTCATCTATTGCGTTATGATGATGGTTGCCTTTCCCGCTTGTATGTGAATGATCTACTCGCATTAATGATATCTGGGATGTTGCATATATCCCTATAGTATTTCTCATGTTGCATTAAGCAATAAAATCCAATGTTCTTTCTATAACAGGTGGGGCTTCACATTTAGGAAGAATAGTTCGACAAGTAGACTCTTTTGGTGACTTTGAGGTGGTTTATTTTTGTGTTCTTGTAATCATGTTTGGAAAAGTTTCAATACACCAGTTTCTATGACCTATTTTTCTTCCTAATTGGTTGCAAATATGACAGGATTCTTTGGAAGATGGAGGTGAAAAAATTGAGTCAAAGAAACACAAGAAGAAAAAGAACTAGAAGAAAAAGAAGGATAAGGGAAAAAACAAAAAACAAAAGGTTTGTTGCCATTGACCATTTCATCCTAGTCAAATCAAAATTGTAACATTTGCTTAGTCTTTAATGTTTTTCTATTGCTGTCATCAAAGGACACTGCAGATGCTATAGTGAAACGACCTAAAAAGAAGCTGAATTTGTGATTCAAATAGAATTCGATTCCAACTGTTTGTATGAAGATATATTGAAGGGTTTACAAACTAGGCTTATCAGAGCATGTGCTTTCACTTTTGATTAGAACAGGCACTATGCCAAGCCCATATGGTAGGGTCGGCTTGAATTTTTTGAGGCCCAAAGCAAACTCAGAAATGGGGCTCAACTTTTAAACTTTTTTTAAAGAATATATATTGGTAAAATATTAAAAACCTTCAATTTATTTTACAAATTACATTCCACTATTCCAGTATGCACGATTGATCCCGATTAAAACTTTTCTCTTTTTTTTTTCAAAATAAAAATACAGAATAATATTAATATTCCTTATAATATAATTTTCTTTAATAATAATATTTTCCTTTTATTGATTGGTCTTCATTTTCTTATAAATTATTTTCATTTAATAATAATATTCATCTTCATTGCCTTATAAAATTATTTTCCTTTAATAAAAAAATTTTCCTCCATTGATTCACCTTCGTTCCCCCTATATCTATATATACATATTGTATTGCATAGCTAATCCGTACACTGAAATCATACAGATACAACAAACAAAGAGAAAGAGAAAGAGAAAGAGAGACAAAACAATTCAATGGCATTCAAGGCTTTCTTCTCCCGTATCACATCATCCTTCAAATTCTGCTGCTCCAAAAATTCGTCCAACATCCCAGAAAATCCTATCCAACTCTCCTCAAGCCCTCTTTTCATTGACTTCCAGCCGGCCACCCTGCTCCCTTTCAAACCCCACCACTCCTCCTTCAAGCACCACGTCTCCTTCATCTTCGGCTGTGGGTTCCGTACACACGAAGACGACCTCCCCGAATCACCAGCATGCAAGTGGGACGAGATGCCACGTCGTGACTACAACTCCTCAATCTCTGGTGATTCCGACAACGAGCTTTTCCCTCCTCCTCCTCCTCCTCTTCCGACGCCGACACGACACCCTATCACCACTTCCTCAGCTGACAGTGGTTTGTGTGGCTACGAGAGAGACGATGAAGAAAAAGAGATTGTGACACTAGCGTCATTTTCACTAAATCGCAAGAAGAGGGTGAATAAGCTGCTACCGTCGTTTTCGGCGGAGGGGAAAGTGAAGGACAGCTTCGCGGTGGTGAAGGAATCGGTGGACCCATATGAAGATTTAAAGGCATCCATGATGGAGATGATATTAGCAAAGCAGCTGTTTGAGGAGAGAGACTTCAAGCAGCTATTGGAGTGTTTCTTATCGCTCAATTCGCGTCATCATTACAGGGTCATTGTTGACGCTTTTTCTGACATTTGGAAGACAATTTTTTTTTATAGTACTAGTTGTATTTTGTTTAGTTGCTCAATTGAGTTTTGTATCTTGATTTTTCATTGTTTTTCTCTTTCTTTTGTCCTTCATTTGTTTTCTATTCAAACCTGACCAAAAGAAATGTTATCTTTCTTTCACATTATTGAATTAGCAGACATTTACTGATATGGATGTTGTTGAGTGTGGATGTTATTGATTGTGAATTAGCAGACATTCAAGCTTGACCAATTTTTTTTTAAAAAATTATTATTATTTTTGAATCGGACGTGTATTTGCTTCATTAAAATCGCATCTTTAATCGTGTACTCCGTGACACATTGTTCATTGGAAAGTTGAGGTTTTTGGTGGTAGAATTCGAAGATTCGACTTTGATGTACTGGGTTTATTTTAATTTTTTTATTTATGGGAATTGAATGTGCTTCAGTGGTGTACTGGGTTGTAAAATAATTATTTGATTTTTATTTATCCTTTTAGGATTAATAGGAAATTTGTTTGTTGCTTGGAGGGTTACCAATTATTTTGGGAGTGAATGTTCTATTCGAGCATGGATTATGCAAAGGAAACCGGTGAAACCGCTGCAGGCACGGCGCTAATCCCGACGCGATTTGTGTGGCCTTATAGGGGAGGAAGTGTTTTTCTCTATTGCTCTTTTACAGGGTGAGACTCAAATGCTCATGTGTGATTTTGATGTTTTATTTGTTAGCTGCACCGTATTGTTCATTACTTGTTGTAATTCTTAGTTCAATTGATTGTTATTTGTTTGATTTTAATTGATGGGAAGTTAACTTTTTTCTGGTAAAAGTGGTCTGGCAATTATTCGATGACTCCTGTCGAAGGGTGCCCCATAGTATTTCAGACTATTTGCAGCTTACCACCAAGTTACCATCAGGTTGGTTTATAATTTCAGGAGGTTTTGATGATTCCACTCGAGCTGAGTTTAATTCAATAATACCTTGATCACTATTGTCAAATAATTTCCTGTTAAATCATATTTATTTTTATTTTTTCATGCAAATTTGTCAATTATGTGTTGTGAATGGTGGATGAGTTCATATATGGTAAATGGGTTCCATGAACAAACAAAACATTTACGTTTTTTACGGGCATAGTGAAACTTATGTACGTGCTCAGTGATAAATTCTAGCAACCCTTTTAGGTATGGTAATTGTTTTGATAAATGTTGCCTTTTGATGTGGTTGAATGTGAAAATGGTGCTATAATTTTTCTTAAAACTTATTTCATCCCCTAAGTTCTTGCTGTCATATGCTGCGATTGTAAACACTTCTTCCTATTTTGGTATTTCTCCATGCACCATATTGTTTTCTTGCAAATAATACTTATTACAAGGGAGGTAATTCAGTTGTATTACTTTGAATGCTTATGGAACAAAGAAGCAAGTGTATTGTTGTTAATTGTTCAAATATGGTTTCTCTCTCTTAATTTAATTGAACACAAAGTATAGAAATTTCTTCTCGGCTTAGAAGATGTGTCTTCTTTGCACACGAGAACATAATGTTGTTGAGCTTGGAAGATGAACTGATTCTGTCCTAGCTGTCATGTGATCATTTATTTTAAATGATTTATTTACTATTTTGTGATTTTATTTTTAAATTGATGTACAAAATCAGCGAAGGTTTAGATTCAGAGGAGTTAATTTGGGATCTTCACTTGGACGTGTTGTCATAATGAATGGAATATTAATGAATGCGTTAAACACCCCAATATTAAATTTGATTTCCTCCTATTTCCACAAAAAGTTTACCGTGATGATCTATAATAACAATATTTTTGAACCCTCATGTAGTATTTTTTTTTCATTTTGTTAAGTTGAATTTAGCACATTTGCTAAGAGCTGTAATTGGCGCATTAGTGAAGGAAAAAAGAACATTATTAAAATAAGAAAGAAGTTGGATTAGAAGGTTTTGGAATTATATGTTGACCAATGTTAAAAGATGTCATTAACTCTAAGCATGGAAAGTCTTTATCAGTGGGCTTTTTTATTTGGTAAGCACAATTCAACTCAGTAGACTTCTATTTCTTCGTATGCTCATTTTGCATAATGCATTAGGTTTTTGTGAGGAGTTCACCATATTGACCCTATTGGTTTATGAAGCTAATGGTTATTAATAGGGACTTTAGGGTGCACTTCCAGTAAACATTTTGCGGGATTCTTTACATCATGCTGTCATTGGCACCCATGATGCATTCATGAACTCGCATCGTGAAACATTCTGAATTAACCAGCCTAAGCAACCGGTGTATAGGCTACGGTGAATGCTGCACCAATACTGCAGTAAAGATATATTCAAGATGTAAAAATAAAATAACCTGACTTCTGAAAAACCCCAGGATGTGTGTACTCCATGAGAAGTTTGTTCCTGACAATAAACAAAATAGCATGGTCCTGCTTGGTCTTTGGCAAAGGGTGAATGAAGCCAAAACTGAGGCCTATGCAATAAATTGTGGGGTTCACTTCAGAAAAATAACTCCTCATACCATGTTACTTGGCTTCACAAAGGAAACATTAAGGAAATAAACAGGAAAAAAAATGTTCAAATCGCTAAATTAACAGTTTTGGATAAGAGTTGTATCATGTTTAAGGTAGTGCATTGAGGGTATTAGTTTTTTATGGTAAATGTGGCTCAAACATAATGTAATAGAACTCTAATGGTTTTTGGTAGAGAGAAAAAAAAGAAAAAAGTAGCATATGTATCACAACTTCTCTTAAAATAAAATGTCCCAATATGCAATATTCACCCCAATTGTGGGTTTCATTAATGTAGCTTAGTAGCAAAAATCTGGTATGAGTGCAATAATTTTTATGATATTTAACATTGGGGGGCTAACTTCCAACACTTCTGAGTGCAAATTTTGCTCACTTTTGTTACTTCAAGGAGTTAATTTTGGTCCACTTGTCATGAAAAATGAATTATAGAGTTATTGGTTCAAGTTTTAATATCAAGTTTAATTTATATGGCTAAGTTTGCTTTGCTTTATGTAATCTCATGCAAGCATCAATGCTTTGTATACAGGTAACAAGTATGGTTGTACTTTGACTAATTGGAGTGTAGAACGAGAGTGATGGTGATTTTTAGAGTACCTAGTTCAAAGAATTTCCAGAGCCAGAATACATATACATATGTATATACACACATAAATAAATGCTTACAAATGTTTGTAGAAAGTCAAGAGTATTTAATGAAACTGCATTCTAAATTAGTCAAATCTTCTATTTGACCATTTTAAATGCAAGAAGGAAGGTACATGATGCCCAAGTTGGCACTTATGTTTGGTTGGGGGATTTGGAAAGGGATTTGGAAAAGGAAATGGAAAGGGTGTGTGAAATGTGGTGAAATATAGGTGCATTTTATTCACATTTCACTTACCTTTTCCTTTTCCTTTTCCTTTTCTCTTCCCAAATCCTCCAACCAAACACAGCGTTAATAAATTAAACCCCCACCACTGACAACGGGGCAATTCAACAGAGTAGGCAGCCTAAAGTTACGCAAAGTGTAGTTTTAAAGTAAACTTTACTTCTTTTTTTTAAAATTTATTATGAAATTAAATTTTGGTAGTTAAGCGATATATGGGCTTATAAATGAAGAGCTTTTGCAATACATATTAGAAAGAGCAATGAAGAGATTGTAGATAATCAAGAACTACCCTGAAGTAGAATGGTGCTATTTGTGGGGCAGTGAAAACTTGAAAAGAACTAAATGATACGTGGTCCAAGTAAGCATGATGGTTCGCAATAAATTTTTGATTCATTACTGCAGCTGAAATATGCTTGGGAACTGTCTGAATTATTTAAGCTCTGCAAATACTTGCCACTTAATTCAGGAACATAGAATGTGTTTGTTTGTTTGATTCTGTTACATACAGTACAAGATTGTTGTTGATGGCGAGTGGCGACATGATGAGCACTAGCCATTTGAGAATGGGAACTATGGGACAGTGAACACTGTTTTCTTAGCCAGGGAATCTGATTATGTTCCTGGAATCCTAAATCCACAAATGCATTCTGGTTCTAACATGGATGTGGATAACGAGGCTTTTCAGCGTTTGGTATGAGACTGATATAATGAACTGTTTTTTTTTTACAGCTAGTTGCCTGGAACCTAATATCTCTTGTCATTTGCTCCTATGTAAATTCTATTTTCAAACAAAAGCATGCTGAGCATTTTTCCATCCTGTATACATTTGTACTTGACTAATCATGATACCCATTAGGAACTCTTGCTATTACAAACTTTTGTGTATTTTGGTGGTAAAAGTCAGATACTGGTGGATTTCTACGTGTATAGTATAGGATGTTACCTAAAGTTGTTATCGCTGAAGTCAGAAATTCTTTGGTTATCTCTATGCATACTGTTGCTATAGTTTTGGGCTTGTCTGCCGTTGTTACCCCTCAGATTTTTCCTGCCTACTATTCTCTTGCTAATACAGTCGGCATAACTGGTTTAATTCAGGTTTCACCTTTTTGTCTTATCAAATCAATGTGATCGTTCCTAAAATCGCTTGAATCAGAAACAATATGATGGACTCAAAACTGTGAAAAGTATAACCCCATTTGAATTTTGGAATTTCTTTCAATAATTTGAAATAAAAAGAAATTTTATTCCTTATTTTAGAAAATGCAAAAAGGAAGTGTCTAAAGCCAATGGAGGTTTCCCTAGTTTGGAATGTGATTAATGAGTCTTAAAAGATTTTTTTTTTTTTTAAAAATCAAGAAATCTTTTTTTGGCTCACATCTGTCTTTAAGTGTTATGTATTGCATATTCACATCTTATATCAGTGAGAACATTGATAAAGGTGGACTTTGAAGTATTGCTAGATGATCTTTTCTATGACTTTTAATTTATCAACTTGTATATAATTGCAGGTTAGAGTTTCAGGTGGTCCATTGCATGAAGCCTTGCCAAGGGTATCAGAAGCTGATTTAGAGGTTTCCCGCCACCGTATTACTATATTTCTATCTACTCACATGGCTTATGAGCTGCTTCCTGAGTCAGGCAAGGTTTGAATAATTTTCCCTTGACTTTATTTTATTTTTATCTACTCTTGGAAGATCAAATAGATTTGATTGCTGCAACTATGTTTCATGTTTCTCATATAGATGCATGTGGCTCGCAGGTCATTGCCTTAGATGTTGATTACCTATAAAACAAGCATTTCATATTCTGCATGAACAAGTAT